GTGTCCAGGTATGTGAAACTCTGTGACTGCATGTGACGCTGTGTGTGTGCATGAGGAACTGTGAGTCTGGATTTGTGAGATTCTGTGTGTGACTGTGTGTGTGACAGTGCCTTTGTGTGTGTGTCCATGTGTGACATTGTGTGTGTAACTGTGTTTGTGTGACACTGTGTGCGCCTGGGTATGTGAGACTGTGTCTTTGTGTGAGTGTGTATGTGTTGTGTGTGTGACTGTGTGTCCGTGTGTGACAATGTGTGTGTGTCCAGGTACGCGATACTGTGGGTGGCTGTGTTTGCATGATATTGTGTGTCTGGGTACATGCTACTGTGTATGAAACTGTGTGTGTGGGAAACTGAGGATGTCTGTGACACTGTGTGTGTCTGTGCACATGGCATTGTGTGTAATTGTGTACTTAGGTTGTAATCTCTTTAGGGCACATGCCGGCATTTCGGTCTATGGAGCTATACAGCACCCCGCACAATGGGGTCTGGTCCCTGCCTGGGGCCGCTGGACAAGACTGCAACAAAAACAATAAATATGTGTTTTTGTGACGTACACACACACCTCACTGTATTCCTGTGTGTGAGACGTGTATGTGATACACTGTGTGTGAGACCTCACGGGCACATGTGGCAGCATGGGTTTGTGTGGGAGCCATTGTGAGTGTGTAGGAGACATGGTGTTGTGACATTCTGTGTGCAGGAGACAGTCTTTGTGTGTGATGCTCTGTGTGTATAGGAGACATCACATGGACATGTCTGCATGTGAGAGTGTCAGTGTGTGTATGAGCTGCGTGTGTGACACTCTGTGTGTGTATGAGCCAAGTGTGCGTAACACTCAGTGAGTGTATGAGCCATGTGTGTGATACTGTCAGGGTGTGTATGAGCTGTGTGTGTATGTGACACTGTCGGGATATGTACAAGCCGGGTGTGTGACACTGTCAGTGTGTGTATGAGCTGCGTGTGTATGTGTGACAGTCAGTGTATGTGCAAGCTTTGTGTGTGTGTGACACTGTCAGTGTGTGTGTGTGAGCCGCATATGTGTGACAGTATGTGTGCAAGTCATGTGTGTGTGTCTGTGTGTGTGTGTGTGTGTGTGTGTGTGACAGGGTATGTATGAGCTATGTGTGTGCCAGCCATGTGTGTGTGACACTGTCAGTGTATGTGCAAGCCGTGTGTGTGTGTATGAAACTGTCAGTGTGTGTATGAGCCATGTGTGTACCTGACACTGTCAGGGTGTGTGTGAGCCATGTGGGTATGTGACAGTCTGTATGTGTGTGAGCTGTGTGTGTGACAGTGTGTGTGCAAGCCATGTGTGTATCTGACACTGTCAGGGTGTGTGCGAGCCATGTGGGTATGTGACAGTCAGTGTGCGTATGAGCTGTGTGTGTGACAGTGTGTGTGCGAGCTGTGTGTTTATGTGACACCGTCAGGGTGTGTGCAAGCTGTGTGTGTGATAGTCAGGATGTATGCGAGCCGTGTGTGTATGTGACACTGTCAGGGTGTGTGCGAGCCGTTTGTGTGTGTGTGTGTGTCCCATTGTGTATGTGACACTGTGCGTGTTTGCGCATGACACCTCTACCCAGCCCTTTTTCCCCACCTTGGCTTGGGGAATCCCTGGCAGCTCCCCCCACACCCTGCACCCCCAAACTCCACCCTCTCCCCAAAATCCCCACACACACACACACACCCTCCCTCCCCATCCCTCTCCCACAGTGCCCTACTGCTGTTGAGGCTGGTACCAGGGAGAAGGTAACCATGGAGACGCTCCCCCCCTCCATCTCCTGCATCTCTCCGCCCTCCCCCTCTCCCTTCCTCTCTCCTTTCTTTGGGCTTCTGGCCCTGACGGACAGCTCCCGGGCCCAATTGGCGAGCCCGGCGGCAGGGCGGGGGGGTGTCTGTCCGAGGGGGTGGGTCTTGTCTCCATCAATTCCAGCAGCCGAGCTCCCCAGCCAGGCGGATGCCGAAACCAGCCAGCCTCCCATTGGATTTGATCCTCCTTTTCTTCTCCCCTTCCCCCCCTTCCACTTCCCCGCCCCCCCCACCCCTGGCAAAGTGGGGGGGAAACCCAGACGTCTGCCCGGATCTCCCCCCCCAGTCTTCCTTTCCACCCTGCATCCCACCCTCCCCAATTCTCCTCCTCCCCCCGTCTATTGTTGGCATGGGCATAACCCGCGTCTGATCCGTTCTCCTGCTTGGCCCCTGCCAGCCCTCCGCTGGGCGGATTGGCCCCTTCCCTCCTTCCCCTTGGGGCCCTGAGGCGGAGGAAGGAAGGAAGATGCTTCGGGATGAAAAGCAGGTAGCAGCCGAGGCCAGGCCGGCCCATCTTCCCGGCGATGCGAAGCCGGGGTGCCCTCCGGCCCGGGTCCCCCTCGCCCCTTCGGATGCGTGAAAGCCACCGGGTGTGCCCCCCCTGTCCCGCGCACCTGCCCCGTTTCAGGTGGCGTGGCCCGTGCCTGGCTTCCCTCCCCCGGGTCCCCCCTGCTCCCCCCCCGGACCTAGGCCGTCTCCCCGCCGGTGGCCCCCGCCGATCGATGCCCGTCGAGCCCCGACAATGCTAAGGCAGGGGCCCGTCGTCCTGCTGGCCGCCTCGATGTCGTATTTCAACCCGGACAGAGCGTTAGCAGCGCCGCTGGAGAACGGTGAGCACCCGGGCCTGGACGGCCTCTCTGGAGTCTGGGCACGTGGAGGGGACAGGTCCCCTGGCGGATCCCCCCCTCCGATCCTTCCACCTCTCCATCCCTCCTCTGCTTCCTTCATCCCTTCCGTCACTGTAACCGGCTTACCGTTCCTCCTCAATCCCTTCCTTCGCTCTAACCTGCTTTTCATTCCTCCTTCATCTCTTCCTTCGCTCCCTCCCTCTGCCATCCCCTTCCTCCTCCATCCCTGACCGTCCCTTTCCTCCATCCTCTGTCCCCTTCCTCCTTCATCCCTCTCTCCGCTGTCCCCTTCTTCCTTCATCCCTTCCTTCGCTCCCTCCCTCCGCTGTCCCCTTCTTCCTTCATCCCTTCCTTCGCTCCCTATCTCCACCGTCCCCTTCCTCCTCCATTCCTTCCTTCGCTTCCTCCATCCGCCGTCCCTTTCCTCCTCCATCCCTTCCTTCGCTCCCTCCATCCGCCGTACTTCCTCCATCCCTTCCTTCGTTCCCTCCATCCACCGTCCCCTTCCTCCTTCATCCCTCCACCATCCTCTTCCTCCTTCATCCCTCCACCGTCCCCTTCCTCCTCCATCCCTTCCTTCATTCCCTCCATCCACCGTCCCCTTCCTCCTTCATCGCTCCACCGTCCCCTTCCTCCTTCATCCCTTCCTTCGCTCCCTTCCTCCGCCATCCCCTTCCTCCTTCATCCCTCTGCCATCCCCTTCCTCCTCCATCCCTTCCTTCGCTCCCTCCCTCCGCTGTCCCCTTCCTCCTTCATCCCTTCCTTTGCTCCCTCCCTCCGCCATCCCCTTACTCCTCCATCCCTTCCTTCGCTCCCTCCATGCTGTGTCCCATTTCTCCTTCCTTAGCTCTATTCCACCTGCTTTCCACCCCTCCATTGGGCACCATCTGTTTGTGCGCCCTTCCCTTCTGCCGAAACCAACCCTGTCACTTCGAGTGTCGTTTGGGGAGTTGGGTCGGGATGGGGGTTTTCCTCCCCCACAGCTGGGTTGTAAGTTTCTCTCCTTAGGTGGCCGGGCCCATCTCCTCCACACAGCGGATTAGTCAGTCCCAGGCTAGTGACATGTGTTGTGTGGCTGCAGGAGGGTGGGGGATGGGGTGTTGGGAGTTGGGGCACTGGGGAGGGGCGCTATGGGTTTTAGGGGGAGGGGAGGTCCACATTTCTGGTGGCTGGGCCTGTTGGGCCACTGATCCATGGAGCCCTGGCATGACTAGAGTTTGTGGGGCTTGGGTCTGGTTCCCAGCAAGTTGGTTGAGGGGACAGTCTGGGTCCAGTCCCCGGAGCAGATGTTTGGGGGCGGTTCTGGGCCAAGTTTCAGGAGAGGTAATGGGGTGCAACAGCTGTCGGCTTGATGCCCGGTGTGTGAGTTGCAGGCAGTGTCTCGACCTGGATACTAGTGGGGCAGTTGGGGGTCAAAGCTCAATTCCTACTCAGTGATTTGGGGAGGGGTCTTGGCCCAGTTCCTGATGGGTGAATTCAGAGGAGTCCCCCAATCGTGCATTTGCCACGAATTACCATTTCAATTGGGGCTGGGCGTTATTTGCCCTATAATGCCCAGAACTGGTCGCTGTTCCGATGGGGTTTTCCTCACAGAGCTCAATCAAGACAGTCATCTCAGCACCACACAAGGGATCCCTATATAACCAACCCCCATGCCCTGCCCCAGAGAGGCTGCATCTCCGTGCTGGGCGGGTTCTTACTCTCATTTCTCTCTCCCCTAGATGGTCTGTCCCAAGGCCGGTTCCCTCTTGCCCCCCCGTATGCCGTGGTCTTGATCTCCTGTTCGGGTCTCCTGGCCTTCATCTTCCTCCTCCTCACCTGCCTGTGCTGTAAACGGGGCGATGTCGGCTTCAAGGTGAGAGGCGGCTGGGGAGGAGCACAGCTGGGTGTTTGGATTTGTGGTTCCCAGGCCATATGCCTAGAGAGACATAGACCCTAGAATGGATATCCCAGGTCCTCATGCATCCCTGTCCGTCTGCGCCCTGCAGGAGTTCGAGAACCCAGATGGGGAGGAGTATCCAGGGGAATCCACGCTACCTGCCGAGGAGACCTCATCGTCCCAGTCCATCCCAGATGTCTA